TGCCTGTGTGAGTACATCATGCTCTCTAAGGCCTGCGAAGGCTTTCTTGGAGAGCTTTCTTTCTACTCTCGTATGTAAAACGTCTGGCAAAAAGTGACGTGTGTACGGCAGCCTGGGTGGGAGAGCAGGCAGACAATTAGGAAACAGTTGAGAAATTGTTATTGAAGCTTAACCGTGCAGAGATCAGATGTGGAGCAGTGCCCCCGCCTTCTGTAACCAGGAACACCGAACAGAAGGTTTAAGGGATTCAGAGGAAGAGGTTTAGCGAAGCGTTTGCTGGATATGGCTGACTCAGGTGGCTTCTAACCCCAGCCGTTCCCTGGCGTGGGGAGGAGGCGTCCGGGCCCCTGCCGCTGGCAGGAGGACGTGTGGGGCGAAATGCTGCCAGTCGGTGTTTTTCCCAGAACTCCGTCTCCCCTTTGATGGTTGCTGGAACAGTCGCAAGGCTCAGTAGCCCCGAGGAGTCACGTTACATTTACTGCCAGAACGAGTCCAAGATTAACATGCTTTACTGTTGGGAGTCTAAAATGTTAGAAACGATGAGTCAAATGCCTCCATCACAAACTTGGCTTAAAGAACCTAAAACTAGGGTTCATTCTAGCCATTTTGTTTCTAAACCTAGAGGGTGTGTGCAGCTAGGCTTTCGATAGAAGTCCTCATGGTGGAGGGCAAGGGACTTCTGGGAGGAGGAAAACTATTAAATAGAAGCTGAAATAATAGTTACTCATTTGTCTTGAGGTGAAATGCTGAGGGGAAACACCCATCACATACCATGGATCCATGTAATGACCCCTGGCAGCTGGTCACCTTGAAAGTGTTTTGGTACAGTGTTTGTCCTGCTGTGTTGTCACCAGCCTCCAGCTTGGTGCCAGCCATGTCTTTGTGAGCCCGTACAGGAAGATCCAAGGTTGTGTGGAAGGATTTTGGAAAGCTGCTCTCTGTCACCCTGAACACTTGAATAGGAATTATTCCGTCGGTTTATCTAGCTGCAGTTTCCAATGCAATGGCGTATAGTGTGGTTTTCCCCTTTAAAAAACCAAAAGGCTTTTAGTTTGTACGAACCAGTAATTATTGGAAGACGTTTCACAGCTTTCCCCAAAACGCCTCCCTCACCGAAGGAGGCAAGGTAGCAATTTCCCCACTCCCTGAGCTCTTGGCAGCTTCCAGTCGCCTGGCGGTGCCCTGGGCAGGTGAGGCGGAGGGAAGGGAAGGGAAGGGAAGGGAAGGGAAGGGAAGGGAAGGGAAGCAACCTGGCTTGTGAGCGGAGCCCACTGCTCGGTGCGGCCCTCTGCCCCCCATGGCTTGTGAGGAGCTGGGCCCACAGTGCTGCTCTCCCACAGGGGGAGGTATTTGGGGCAGTGATGGGGTGACCCACAGGAAGGGTGCCAGTGAGGGGGTCTGCTGGGCAGTGAGGGGGGGCTGTCCCCCTCCCTCCCTGGGCAGCCGGACAGAGGCTGGTGAGGCCACGTGCCCACCACAGGCCATGGCTGCCCTCGGGGCAAAGGCCCCTGTGGGACAGGGGTGTGGTGGTAGGGAGGGCCTTGTGCTGTCCAGCAGCCAATGGGAGGACAGCTGAGGCTGCAGCAGCCAATAGGAGCATGGGGCTGCCTTGACGGGCATGGTAGCCCCAGCTGAGCCAGGGGCTGTCGGAGCAGGAGGTGCTGAGGTGGTGGGCCCTGAGGCGGGAGAGGTGTGAGGGCGGTGGTCCCGGGGGGTCCCTGAGGCGGGAGAGCTGTGAGGACGGGGGGCCTGGGGGGTCCCTGAGGCGGGAGAGCTGTGAGGACGGGGGGCCTGGGGGGTCCCTGAGGCGGGAGAGCTGTGAGGACGGGGGGCCCGGGGGGTCCCTGAGGCGGGAGAGCTGTGAGGACGGGGGGCCTGGGGGGTCCCTGAGGCGGGAGAGGTGTGAGGGCAGTGGGCCTGGAGGAGCTCAGGGTGCTAGCAGCCCCCCAGGCTGGCCTGGAGCATGGGCCCAGGTGACACGGAGGTAAGGGGGCTGGTGGTGGCTGAGGCATCCTGTTGGAGAGGGAAACCGGTACGGTGGGGCTGTCCTACACGTGCAGCGCTGTTTGGGGAGGTGGTGCAGGGGCAGGAGCTGTGCTTGGAGCCACCCTCCTGTCACAGGCCCAGGAATGGGGGAGGGCTCGGGGCCTGCCTGGCACTCCCTGGCCTGCCCAGTAGCCACAAGGTGTGGGGCTGGTGGGGCAGCCACCTCCAGTGAGGGGTGCCCAGGGTTCAGCATTAGGTATTGGGGGCTTTTGCTGAGGTGTGAAATGTCTGGGAGACTGGGCAGCAAGGGGCAGAGTGCAGGCAGAGGCCTCTCAAAGAGCACAGCTGTGGACGCCTTGAGCCTTTCCTTCTTGCTTTGTGACTCTTTGTGGCCTTGACTCATGATTTGGTACTTTCAGAGTGGTAATACAGGGAGATCGAGGGAAACTCTAGGTACCTTGTACTGTCTTTGGAGGTGGGCCCAGGCTATATTCCATATTTTATTTCGACATCTGCTTGTTCGATTTTTTTATTTTATTTATTTTTTTTTTAAATTGCTGAAAGTTCTTTCTTTCATTTGTTGTGGACTTCTCTTCCCCAAACCTCCACTGTGTGCCCCTTCTTTTGTCTTCACTGTCTGAAATCACAGGACTATTTCTTGTTACTTGTTCTTAAAAAGTTTTGTCTGCCTTTTAGAGTCTAAACAAAAGCAATGTTTCCTCCTTAGTTTGTAGTTCAGCTGGTCCTTGTGAGCTTTTCCTAAAGACACTAAAGGGAAAAGAAGTAGCTCCTGTCTGAATGACTACTGTAGGAAATCTTGAGAGCTACATCTTTTGTCAGCTGTGACAAAAGTGTAAGTGGCTTCATGAAGTATTAGACAAGTTCATGGGCTTCAGCTGGGCATATTAAAATCAATAGCCTGTATGTGATCCCCAGGGACTGGAGAAGGGTGTGTGGAGGGGTGTGCCAGAGGGTCTGTCTCTGCTTAGCACAGAGTAAGAAACCAGGTTTTGTCCCTGGCCTTCAGATGACATCCTGAGCTAAATGGACTGTTGGTCCGTTCCAGCCCAGCCATCCCCGTAGCTCTAGGAGCTACCACCTTTGTGCCATCTTTGTCATTGGTGCCCAGCTCTTTCCTCAGAGGCAGCTTTATTCCTGGCTGCAGCCGCCGGGTGTAGAGTCTGTTCCTGGCGCTCCTCTGATGAGCCTGGTTTGGCTCGGTAGCGATTGGACACAAGAAGAGCAAATACTTGAGCCTCAAAGTGAAATGTTAAAACAACTGAAATAAGCCTCTTCACGTAATCTTCCCTGTGAAGGTGCTCTTTGGAGCAGGAGCAGCATGAGGATGCTCCGCTTCTAAAGTTCTAAAACTCTGAAATGTTTAGGCTATTGAAGGACTTACGTTCCTGCTTGGACATTACTCTAGCTCTTGCTGCAGTTTAGACTGTGGCTTTGTAGGGGTTTGCAGGAACTTCAAAGCGTTCTGCATTTTGGTTTTGGTGACTTCATTGCTGAGTTTTCTTCCACTTGTCGGTCAGTGGGCAGACAGGTCAACGAAGCAGTGAGGTTGGGTTTTGGATTTCTTAATGTATGAATGGCCCCCAAATAGGTTACTCTGCATCCAGGTTTTAGCAGAAACTTTGTGTCAGGTAGGTGGTGTCAGGTACAGATGGCCTTAATATACCTACAGGAGGTATTCTAATGGCAGGAGAGGGGTTGATGTGGTGTGGTGTAGGGTGCAATTGTATAGTCTCTTCTGGAAAATTGCAAATTGTTTTTGTTTAAAACCTTATGTACAAAATACTTGGCTCGGGCACTTCTGTAGGAGATATAAGCTCTATTGACTGAGGTGCTGTGTGAGTCCTGAGCTTGATGGAAAAGTCCGTGAAGTACTAACAGTCTGAGACTTGCTGAAGCCAGTAGCAACTTCTGCAAATTGTGTGCTGCCAGAGGAGGTCTTGGCTTGCTGAATTTAACTGTGCTGTGTAAGAAAGGAGCTAGCTGGTTGGTAGAGGCATCTGTGTCTTGGAGATCAGAAGACGACTGCAAAGCTTGGCTCCCCGTGCCTTTGAGGGAAGTACAAGCAACTGTGTGTTAGGTTATGGGGCTTTTTAACTCTAACTTAATAGAGAAAAGAAAGAGAGGTGGGTCTGCTCTGAGTTCAGGGTTAGACTATAAAGGTAATATTAATATGATCCTTCAAACAAATGGAAACTAAAGTAAGATTCAGTTTAGTAGTGATACAGCATGTAGGTACAACAGTAAGCAGTTGCACTGAGTGAACAGAAATAAAACTGCTGTGACTGAAATGGATCTGGAATTGACTTTGTCAAAGAAAAGGGACTGGCTGGTCTCTGTCCTGGAATATGGAAGAAGTTACCACGTAATGCCAAATGTCTGATAACAGGGATTTTTACTGAACCTGTTAAGTCAGGGCTAGTAACAAAATACAGAGAACAAGCTGAGCGTACAACATGCACTGAGCAAGGACTGAATTAACTGACCCATTAAAAACCGGGTAACGTTTTTTCATGTGGCTTGCTCCATGGCAGGTAGTGTAAGACTGGCCTTTTTCAAAAACCAGCTCTCTCTAGAGAGAAAAGTTTTGTTGTCTAATTTCTTTAAAGGATTTATTAGGGAGTCATATGGAAAATTAATTACTGCGTCAAAAGGATGGAGGTTTATGCAAGTATTGCAAGATGGGTAACAAACTGGTGAAAGGGAGGGTGTTTGTACTGCAGTGAAAACTGAGTTGGAGGCAGGAGTCATGAGACACGCATTACTTCTCATCCACGACCTTGGCATAAAAAGTAAGATTATGCATATGACAGATATTTGTGATGAAACCAGTCTGGGAGACAGGAGCAATAACCTAAAAGAGGAGGAGGGTGATAAATGTATTACACAAGATGAGCTCTAAAACTTAAGTACAAAGTTTTTATAACAGTAGATTCAGAGGGCAAGCATATGCCTCGACAAAGTAATGGGCAGAATTTCTGTTATGAACTGGGGTTCATCAGTTTGGAAAGAAAAACTAGCAGGTGACTGGGTTACCGTAGGGACATGACTGGAAGACAAGTGTGATCTTAGCTTTAAGAGATGCTTCTAGCACAGTTGGTGCCATTATATGCAGTGTTTTGCAATGCTTTGCACAATGAAAAAGTGGAACAAAGAAATGTGTGTGTTTGTTTTTGTTTTTTTTTTTTTTTAAATAAAGGCATCACCAAGGAGGTGCTTCAGGCAGGCCTAAGAGGTGATCAAGGGAGATGTGTTAAGTTGGTGTGACATGCCTTAATAATTTTGAGCAATGGGAACACGTCCAGAGAATAAGCTCCAGGGTTGAGGAGGAGGAATTATTGAATCTGAGGGATGATTTGGGCTTCCAGGCCTCTGAGCAACTTTGCATCAGGTGCAGTGAGGATAAGAAACCTGGCTGGGCTGAAGGTAAAGCTTGATGAACATAGGAAAGAAATTACTTAATGCCATTACCTGTTGTTTCAAGGTGTGTGAGGATCCAGGAGGTTCCTTCCAGTTCTGTGGTTTCTCTGCTATATGGCAAAATATTTGAATTAAAGTATTTTTTTTCTTTCATCTGTCTGGCCTGCAGAATACAGCATTTCTATAAATTGTTTTCTCTGTCAAGACTTCCGTGTGACCATGTAAAAGAAACAAGATAAAATGTCTGAAGTCTAATGCTGCCAATACTAAAGTTTTTGGGCTTCCAGATGACAGCTTTCCAATTTAAGTATTGCATCTGATACAGGTGAATCCTATCTAAACCCTTGTCGTGACAGACAGGTGAAATTAATGATGAAACTGATGGCTTATGTCATGGCTCAATTTAAATCTTACTTCACCCAAACAGAATCAAGTTCAAAGCAGTGGTTTTATTTTTTGAAGTTGTGATAAAGCTGTAAATAATTGAGTCAAGTCAGTTCAGCCATGAAACTTCAGTTCTTTTACTTGATTGGGATTTGTCTGAGACTTGTCCTGAGTGCTGCTATGTTTTCAGAACGAGGAGATCCCTGTTATGTGAAGTGTAGCTCCTCGCAGCTTGCCGATGGGACTTGCTGCCTTCTTTCTCTGTGGTCCTGTTATGCTTTCCTCTTTTGCTACCTCCTTTCTCCTGCTTTGTCTTAGCAGTATCTCCTTCTGTTCACTGGTAGGTTACAGCCATCCCTTGCTGCTGCATCCCGTGTAACATGTCTCCGCCTGTCTTGTATAGGCTCTTGATAGCACCAGATGAGTGATGCTTTTTACCTGGCTCCATGCTCTTCTATTTGGCTTAACCAAAATTAGATGGGACATGCTGCATACTCCAGCAGAGCACATTAGGGAATAAAAACAAGTCCTCAGACAGACCTTGGCATTTTATTTTGCCTTCCCTCATCAGCAAAGCTGCTCTTTACCTCCCTTCCAGCAGACCTCAGTCTAAAGACCCAACACTCCTTCACCAGACAAAAGACGTTTTTGCAGTGCCAGGCTGACTAGTGGCGTCTTGTGCAATGAGGTTTCTGCATCTACAACCTCCTTCTGGCAGGCTGGTATCAAGTGTACCCGGTACAGCCTAGAGCTCACTGTGGATGCTCTGGAAATGGTGCCCAGTATTTGGCCACCTTCTCTGTTAAGGCTGTGGATGGTCTCTAGTTGAGGACGGTGAGTTTTGTCCGTGTGTTGTAAGCAGACTGCTGTCTGCCTGCGTTTCTCTAATGGTGCTGGTTAAGGATGCTGTATGGTCTGAATTTTCACTTTCTCAGTCAGTCCAGTTGGTCCTAACAAGGTAGAGACAGGGTCTCTCTGTTTGAGCACTGGGAGGTGCAGACCGCTGATTTTTCTACCCTGGGGTTCTGGGGCCTAGACCTCTGCCTGTCTGTGCTGACCCAGCTTTAAAACAGGGCTGACACTTCTGGCAGCCGGTTGGTTTATACTTAGGTCCTGAGATACTGGTGATTTGTGTCGGTAGCTTTTCTTCTTTCTGCTTTTTAAAGAGAAGACCTCAGTATGGAAAACTCCCCTACACTAATAACCAAAGACCCTAAATTCAACTGTTCTATTGCTACAGCTGTGGAAGAGAAACATTGATCTCTCCTGTCCAAAAGCTTGAGCTAAGATCTGTTCCTGATGCTGAAAACACTTTCTCTTTTCTCCGTAGGTTCAGTACTGTGGCTTGCTGTTTCGCCATGAGGGCTGGCCCCTGTGTATTCACGAGAAGATTGTAGTCCAGTTGGCTTCTATTGACTGGCGAATCTTGAAGCCTGGTGACTTCTACCTGCAGGTGGTCCCCTATCTCAAGAAGTCTCCACGAATTGTACTGAAATGTTTGGCAAAAGACAAGCATAATGTAGAGGAAGTCGTGATTCCAGAAGTTTCCTATACCTCTATTTTTACTCTGGAATGGTTGAGTACTATCAATGGAGAGCGGATGGGTATAGCACTGGAAAATTGTTTACTGACCACTGATGATAAAATATTTCGTGTCCCTTGGGATAAAGTGGTTAATCCTGAATTTATAAATAAACCAAAAATAATTGAAAATAATATCATCTCTCCAGAAATAACAGAGGAACCTTCAATTTTGTGCCTCCCCATGGACCATGCTGAGTGCAGTTCACCAGACCTAGGATCTCAGTATCTACAGGAACAAAGTCCGAATCAAGACAACCCGGTCATTAGCAGCACAGCTCCGCAGTTGAGTGAAGCTTTTGTCAATGGTGTGTGTACAAGTCCTGTGCCTCAAGAGAACTTGAAAAGTGACCTTGAAGGGGAGTACGTTGAGCTGACAGAAGTTTCACTGCCCAGGTTTGGGCCACAGGCAGGCTCTTTAACCCAATCACTAGCTTTAAGTTATCTAACTCAGCCCAGAACACAAGTGAATGCGTCTAAAGGCAAGCACAGGTTTATTGTCATTCAAGACAGTACCTACTCCAAGAACTTAATTCGGTCAGCACTTATGCAGAAGGAGCACTGTCAAATGGACACTCTGAGGACTTCTTCTACAGAAGTTCTCAAAAATGTGATTCCATTGGAAAGCAACAAAATGATGGCACATGGAGAACTGTCTCCAGAAGGTCAGCTGGTATCGGGTGGTCCTGGAAATATGGGGAATAGCTTTCCTGTGGCTGAGTCTCCTGCCTGCAGTGCAGAAGATTCATCTGCAGAGCAGGAGACCCGCAGTGAATGCTCAACTGATTGGCGATATGCGCTGTGCAGCTACAGCGACGTGTGTGCTGGTGATGGTGTCAACTGCAAAGCACAAATGCCTGGTGCTCTTGGAAATGTGGAAGGAGAAAGTGATGGTCCTAGCGGAAATCCTGGTGTTGAAACATCAGAGGAGAGCCCAGAAACAATTCTATATGCTGCTGCTGCTGCCCCTGCTACAGAGGAGGTGATACTGAAAGGACATGGAGAACCACTGACCGAGGGTCAAAATGAGGTGATACAGATGGATCCCTCTCCTGTGTCTGTCCTGGGACCTTCAGGACCACATTGCACACTGAAGGAAGTTTCTGATGTTTCTTGCCAGAGCGTCGGTGAAAGTGTTGCGCCAGTCCAGGCCACTGCATTGCTTATCATGCCTGAAAGTTCAGATGTCGGTGTGAAGAGAGGCTTCCCTTCTTCAGGGAACACGGCGGATGTAGGAGCAGTCGGTGCTTGCTGCAGTGATCAGGAAGCAAATCTTAGTTCTCCATTAAATGCTCCAGAACAGAACCAAGGAGAAGTAGATGAATTCGAGCTGGGAAGAAGGGACAGCCCTGAGGAAGTCAAAGAGATTGAACAAATATTGACTGTAAACGAGAATCAGACTAGTCACAGTCACTGTTCTCTCAAAGCTCCTGCAGATGGACTCTTGTCAGGTGGTGAAGAGCAAGAGATCTCTGCATGTCAGCATAAGAAAGCTGAAGAAGTCATACTACTCCAAACTGCTCTGTCAGCAGAGGGCGATCAGGCGGCAGAACAATTAAATAACAGCGACTCTTTGATGGGCCCTGATGCACAAGCAGAAGGCTCAAGTCATTTCAGAACCCACAGGTCTGGAGAGAGGTGTGAGGAGCCGCAAAGATGGGCAGAAAATCAGGGCTGTAGAAGTGAAGAGAACTCTGTGCTGAACTCAGAGCGTGTTGCGGTACAGGACTTGCAGGGAGGGGAGGAGAACCAGGGAAGTTTTTCTTACGGGGAAAAGTCAAAGACTATAGCCTTAAAAACACTGGAATCCATTGAAGAGGAACTGGAGGTTGGACCACTGTCCTCGGGACCCGCTGAGGGGCATGCAGAGCCCACCACTCTGCACTCCCGCCAAGAGGCAGCTTCTGGGGCATCATCTCCTAAAGGTACAACAATTGGATATTTGTGTGTTTATCTGTTTGATAACATGGATCGAAAGCAAAGTCCTCAAGAGGTACTGCTGACAAGTACATCTGCTGGGGGGCTTTGGGGTAGTAGCACAAACTACAGGAAAATGATTAAGTTGTCATTTTTGTGGCTTGAAACTAGCTTTCTCTTCACAGGTTGGTTTATTGTAGGTATTTTGTTTAATGGTTCTTTGCAAACATGTATCGGTACAGAACAAAGTTCCACTGTAAGAGACTTCTTAGTTTCAGTTAATCTGATTGCTGGTGACCTCCACCCGTTACATTCATCGTGTGCACATTATGGATGCATGCAATAGGAATGCGTGAAAAGAGAATGTCTAACCGTACAAGTCTTTCGTAGTTGAAAATTGGCTTTAGGAAGATAGTTGTGGCAAGAGGAAGCAGCAGTGGATGCCACAGTAAAATACTAGCTGTGTAACACGACCTGAAGATCAACAAATGTGTGTGCTGGTAACTGATTAAAGAAGCAAACTGCGGAGCTGAGGGATTCCCCCCTCTTCCCTCCCTTCCCCTCCGGTGTGCTTTCTTCAGCTTGGTTATGTTTCAAGTAGAAGCTGTTTAACTTGAGTGGGAGAGCACAGAGAAATTAAGCATCTAACTTCGACTCAAACGGTGTGTTCAAGCAGGTATTGCCCAGACTTCTTGATGCCTGGGTTCCTGTGCTGGAGCTGTGCTCCTTCAGAAGGAATTGAACAGGCAGCCTTTTGCACCAGACTGTAAGCAGGCGGTGTGTAACCGCATGGACACGATGTTGGCTTTGCCTAGCTCATGCTGAGTCTGGAAAGCTGTAGCTAGATATGCAGATCACATCGATGTGTGGCGGGGGTGGGTGAAACGTGCCATTCCAGTTCAACAGCTCTCGTTCCCTGAGACCCCTGGCTAGGAAAATTACCCGGCTTGAAATATTAGAGTGAGGACTCTTGAAAGGGTCGGAGGTAGAGACCCACGTTGCTAGAGCATGTCTGACCCTGTGGAGGAACAGATTGAGAGCTGGTCGTCTTGGGACGGGCTGCCAGTGTAATGTTTGCACTGATCCTAAATTGTGTGGGTAAGAGCCTACCTCACCGCTGCAAACACAGCTACTTTCTCAAGTGTCCAAAAGTCACGTTTTACCTGATGCCTTAGTGTGACCTCCTAATGGAGCTAAAGTGTCCACTGATTAAAATGAAATTTCATTAACACCTGCACCAAAATATTTTAATTCCGTAATTAGGCAAGCCCATGGTTGCCAGGCATTTCTGGCACTTTTGGAGTGACAAGCATTTCTCTTCTGTGAAATGGAGGGGTCAGTTCAGAAGTTTCTATTTCTGAAGTGTGCGTGTCTCTGAGCATCTACCACCATGAGCAGAAAAAAAGAGGTCACCTTCTGCCTATCCGTAGCTCTTGGGGCATGTATGCCAGTAAATAACCATGTGGTGGGTATCCATTCCCCTGACAAAGCTGAACCTGGCTTGACTTCATGTTTGCACAGGACTGGACCTCAGAAAACCTAGGCTGCGTTGAGTGCTGGGTGTACGCTTTCCTCATGACGCTAGTGGCTGCTTGTTCGGTGTTCCCATCTCTTCTGTCTAAAATTAGCCGGGTCCAGCTCGTGTATGAGATAAGTGTGATGTTTTTCGCTGCTTCACAGGACGAGTCTTTGCCACTGCTGCAGATTTCAGCAATGCAGACCCCTCTGGGGTATGTGTGAAGTTTGCTTTTAATGAAAGACAATTTAAATGTTTTTGGGGATTTGGCTGAAATAAGTGACATGTTCATGGCCCAATTCTGATGATGTTAAGCTTTGGCATTGCAGTTAAAACCAAAACTGTTATCTCCGAGTTTGTAAAGGAAAAGAAACAACCTAAATCACCAGAACACCCCTTCCCTCCCCCTCCCCAAACCAACAAACTAAAACTCTTTAAGGCATAGGACAGCTCAGATATCTGTTAATGCTGGGAGTATTTCTTAAACACTATAGCTGGAACTGTAACAAGCTTAATCCATTCAATTACATTTGATTGCTTTGAGATCCAAACAAGCCATCCCCTTATCTAGCCCCATTAAACGTTCAGAGATACAATAATAAGATAATTCAGAGATAAAATTACAAAGTGAAGCAAATGTCCTACTCTCAGTCCTACAAATGGACTTTTCTCTTCCAGCCAGTCAGTCTGTAGGCAAGTTAAATTCTCTGACTGTCTCTTGTTGGGGTCATTTTGCTATTATGATTGGAAACTGTGGGTATCTTGCCTAAACTATAAATAACAACAAAGCTTAAGCTTTACTGGGCCAATTCAGATCTACAGTTCACACCTTGATAGTAGTGGGCAGACACACGACTTGCTCTGTGTGAGGTGGAGGAGCTTTCTTGTTACAGCAGACATTGTAGATTATATCAAAATACTCATTCAGAACTGGGGCATCTGAGTTTGCTGTGTCTGCAGATTTTTCCTTGTCCATTAACTCTCTCCCCTTCCTCCCACTCCCAGTCACAAACTGAGCTTATTTTCTGCACAAATATGATCTAACTTTGAAAAGATTTTGAGTCAAATGTGAGCTGTTTTGAGTTGGTGGCTTAAAATTCACACTGGCTCCATTCACAGAGAATCTGACTGCTGTTTTTTCCCTAATGACTGACTTTAAGTGAAAGTGAATTTTGAAACTTTGCAGCTCTGGAAAGAATTCCTATATTTCGAGTGTGGAAAATATCTTGATATTCAACAAATTGGCTGAAAAGCCACACTGGGGCATATTCAGCAGCACCTGTTAGGGCATTCCGTTCCCGTTCCCTGTTACTATGTGATGTTAGCATAGATGGTACTGGTGCCGGGGCAGTTTGCAGGAAAAATGCTAATGTCCCTTTGAAATGCACACAAGCAAATCCTCCTCTACCACTTCCTTAACCTCTGGGAAGGGTGGAACCTGCAAACACGGCAAGTTCAGATGTCCCGGTTCTCAATTTGCTTTTTGATGTAATCCTCCGCATTCTACAACTTCCGCTTTAGTAAGTGCCTCCACCCCAGATTGCAAATAACAAACAGTGAGCTTGGGCCTGTTCAGAGGGAGGTGGGGTCTGCAGATCTGAACTGGGCCCAAGAAGCTTAGGGAAGAGGTTTGTTTGGGCAAGATGTACGTAGTCTGGAGGCTGCACTACTCCAGTGAGGTTTCCCTGGGGCTGAAAAGCCCCAATACCAGGGCTGTGTCTGGTGGGCTGAGCAAAATACTTCTCTCTTCTAGCTTTTGGGAGCTGCTACCTCATTCCTAAGAGATATCCAAGGCAGGGCTGCCATGTACATTTATGTCTTTCTCTTGCCCTGGTGTGGTACCTTCAGTATAGCTATGTTCCCTTTCTTGTCTTCTTTAAATGCCACATTTTGGTCCTTTTTGCAGATTTAATGCAGATTCCTTTACTACAAACTGTGTGGCTTATTGCCAGGCCTTACAGCTCCTTGAGACGATGATGCTATGATTCTCTGTTCTCCTAGAAAGCCTATCAGCCCTTAATGTGAAACCTTTGGGGCATGACTTAACGTGACTCTCTGACCTTCAAGATACCGCATCTACGGGAGATCAGTGCCCCTCTAAAATGCTGCTTCAGGAAGAGCTAGCAGCATTGTCCAAAGTGAATGACCTCTTGCATCACTGGAAAGTGGAGGCTGAGGTAGTAGTAGGAACAGAACTGAGCTCTGACACGTCCCAGAACTGTGCAGAGCCCTGAAGCCATCGCAGCAGCTTACGTGGTCAAATGCAGCAGATGCCAAGCTGGGTCCCAGGGATGCTCCTTCAAGAGGAGTGTTACCAAAGAGTAATGAGCAGCTACTCTGTCATGGCCTCAATGGTGCAGAGCCCTGGAGCCCCTCCTAGTTTCCCCCCGCTGTTGGATAATTTTGCACAGTGAGCCATGCTGCTCAGGGCACTTCTCTCACCCACTTTAGCAATTTTGAAAGCAGTTTGGGCTGAGCCTCAACCTGTAAATCTCCTTGACTGCTAAAACTTGTATTGAAAGCCACTTCAAGGACTGCTTTGTTCCTGGTCCTGCTCTTTAATGAAGTATTGGAATCTGTTAGTAAATAAACTGAGTCAACTGTCAGCATTGTTGATGCTGCAGGAAGGCAGGATGGTTGAAGTCAATTTCAAATAGCAATTAAAACGTCTGACTTCATAGCAAGCAAATAAATACTCCACTCTCTTATTTTCCTAAAGAGACGTTGATTTTTTGTTGGTAGATATTGAAGTATCGGGATTTGCAGCGAAGTATAGCCTTTTCTTTAGTGTATCTTGCTGCCAAACAGTGGGATAGCCCAGCTGTGTACTTAGGATGCTAAAGACGTATTGCTGAAGACATATTGTTGGCTTCTAATTCTTATAATATTGGGAAATGGGGAATAATACTTCTTACACAGTAGGTATATTTTTTTTTCTTCTCTCCAGCTACTTTTACGTAAAAATTGAAACTTGATAAAACTAGCATTAGTTTCCATGTAGTAGCTAAGATATTTAGTTTTAGAATTAACTGATTCTGATAACTTGTACTTTAGAGCTGAGGTGTCAGGCAAAGGAAGCATTTTCTCCAGTTCTCGAACAGAGCTGATTGGCGTAATCATCCCGTTCTTCAGGGTTTTAAAATAGGTTTCTGACTTTCACATTAACTGTTAATTAAAAAAGTCTGGACGAGCAGAACAAGGTCTCTGGCTAATTTCCAGCTGATTTGTCAGCCTCGAGTTGACTTCATATTTTCAGGAACTAATCTGAAAGTGGTGTTGGGGGAGTAATTCTGCTCTGACGGAGCAGCTCTCCCTGTCAGAAGCTGGTTTATCACTTCAGCATGCTCGAGCTGCTGGAGCTTAGCCAGGGACTTGCACCGTGCCAGACTTTCAGGCTGTGAGCAGACATGTACTGCTTGATATGTTACCTTTAAAAATGACTTTGACTACAGTAATCCTGATCTGAATTGAGTTTTTGTAACTCGCAAACTTCACAATAAATTGGTTTATTTTTTTAGAATTACAGTAGTATTAATGTTATAACCAGTTTTGGAACATGCATGCTACTGGCATGAGGACTGGAGGAGCTGCAGAGTGCTGGGGCTGGGGGCACGTCCCTCCCCAGTCTGGGACTTACCTGGGACCTTTTGGGTGGAGCTCTGCTCGAGCTTCTGACTGCTGTTTGTCTTATAGGGATGGTGTCAGAAGGGGCAGAGAGGAGAAAAGAAGCAACCGGCACAGATGTGTTGAAACCAGTGAGTAAAGCCAGTGCTCTGGAGGAAACCTCAACAGCTATTACTCCTCCGACGTCCCCAGCTTCTGGGACTGCCTGGGGTGGTCGGTCTGCACCTACCATAGTCAAGGATGTGAACCCAGAAGTGCTCAGGAGCGGAGTTGCCTGCCTGCCTGGTGAGTAGCTGAGCCAGAATGTGTCTGAGAAGTGTGGTTTGTAGGAGGGCAAGGGAGACGAGCAGTGCTGCAGACTGGTGCCAATTCCATTTCTTTCACCCCAAAGCTCTCCAGAAGCAACATGTCTTGAATCCTCTAAGGTTTCTGGATGGGTAGGACAGGAAGTAGAACTTCCCTCTCATGAAGGTAATGTTAACTTGCTCCCAGGAGACTCAAAATATTAACCAAGCATGTATGAGTCAGAAATGCCAAATCTGTGGGCTCATACCAGTAGCTCAAAAAGAGAAGAGTGAGGGTGCAGCTAATGATGGGCTGGTGGGCCTGACATCAGACCTAGTCGAAACAATAGGAACTTGATTCATTTGATAGATAATTAAAGGATAGGAGTGTAGAAGATGCTAGCTGACAGTGCTCTTGTAAAACCAGTTTTATTCTTGGTAATTAGAAGTTTGGCTGATTAAATGTAGCTGCCTAGATATAATAGATTTTTAGAAAACATTTGATTTCATGACACATAGTGTTGAAAGGAATATCCCAATGAAGGGTGGATGAGCAACGAGTGGGATGAACGATAGCGTAGCTAAATAGCAGATGACAAAACTATCTATCAAGGGAGGACTTCCCAGAATTGTTCTGCTGAGATCAGTTGTAAGTCAAACGTTATTCAGTGTTTGCATCTGAAATGGCAGCAAGTATCAAATTACTGTGGATAAAACTTCTGCATGGGACAAATATTGGCAGAGTGGTAAACAAAGCTGAAGCTGTTGGACAGAGCAGCCAGGATCACTTGGTGTGCAGGGCCCACACAAGAGGTCTTTGTGTTTAACCAAATATGAAGTGCAGCAGAGGAAGTGAGATCTACCTCTCCAGTGCGAAACAGCCGTTTGGCAGCATCTGCCTAAGCAGCCCGTGTGGGCTCGCTTCCTTCCACAGCCAGCGAGAGGGTTGTCCAGTGCGGGGTAGGAAGATGGCTCCTGAGCTGACTGGATGTAGCTATGTATGAGTTGAAAACTGGCCAGAGAGCAGAGAAGAGGTCAGGCGGACCTGTGCGGTGTGGAGAAATTGGGAAGGAGAGCAGAAAGGCGGCACAGCGATTTCTCACTCGGTGCTGGGGCTGCAAGACCAATTTTGACCTCAGATATGTAAAGGAGAGGGGATGACTAGCCAGGTTAAGAAAGTGATTTTACCTCTGTGTACTTGTTGGTGATGCCTCTCAAATAGTGTGGGTATGTTCTGATGCCTTTGTTCTAAAAGGAAATGGTGAATATTGGAGGTGGTGCAGAAAAGGGTGACAGCCCTTTCTTGTAACTGAATTGGATGTCTTATGGCAAGAGACTGGAAGGTTGTTTACCTTGTAAGATGATTGAGAATGAGGTGAAAACACCTTTGTGCAGGGAAGGAGGAAAGGGAAATAAGACTTTTCCAGATTTCTGGAAAAAGGTGAAATGAGCAACCAAGTGCAGGGCAGAGTTACGGTACATTCAAACATGTAACTTTGCATTGGTAGGTAAATTGTTAAGAACAAATTCCAAAGGAGGATTTCCAATCTTCTGATCTGCTGATCAGGTTGGATGTTGTAGGGTGTGTACAACAGCCAAAAAATTACAGGGTTTGAGAGAGGGGTCTTTAAGAGAAGCTCATAGTCCGTGCTATTGTAGGAGCCTGACTATGTGATCTAATGCTCTAGTTGTTTCCTTTGTCACAGATTCCGGTCATAATGTATGGCTGTTAAACAAGGCAAATGCATTTGAATATGGGATGAAGGGATGTGCCCTTGAAATGCATTGAGGAAACAAGGTTTGGGTTTGATACCACTTCCAAGGGAGTTTTTGTCTAAGGGAGGAATCACGTTTTCTGTAGAAGCAGTATTGGATTTGACTGACATCTCTTCTCTCACGTGTCTCCTTCTGGATTTCAGTGGACAATCCTCATACCTGAGGGAATGCACTCACCACTCAGTTAAATGCTTTATGTTAGACATTGGTAATGATATAATAATTACATTAGAAAGGATAACTTTTATAATGGATAGTGAATAAGAGCTAATTAATAAACTAGTAGCTGATGGAGTTAGGAAGAAATCTTCCTTTCAGGAGAGTTTCAATTCTGCATTCTGCTCTTGAATCATCTGGTTATTCCACTGTTGGACACCTAGCCCTGGTGGCTGTGTTGCTTTTTTGACCTGGTCAGGCAATTCCCAGGCTCCTATATAGAAGTTCAAGGTTTAATGAAGTTCTGGTGATGCCGAGCCTCCCTGATGGACAAAAGATGTTGCCTCAGAGTAAGAAAGTTTGTGCTTCAGAGTAAGAAAGCTTTTACTGAGCCTGGTTATCGAGCCATTTTTCCTGTAATTGAGTACTTTGCTTTTTGTTTTGTTTTGTTTTCTGATTATCCCCTTAGCTTATGAAACAAGGTATATTAATAAGCTTTTTCTAATTTCTCTCCAGCTCTGTGATTACACAGATAAAACAGTATTTCAGGAGTAATAAAACTCCTCCTGAATCACACAGACGATGAATGATTTTTGTCCCTGCTGTTAGCAGGAGAAAGCCTGTGTCACAGTTCTGGTCCCTGGGAGGGAGAAAGCCCTGCTTCTAAACGATGCCCATCTGTGTCTGTGGCCCTCACTCAAGTCACGTCCTAGTGACAGATTGAGATCACACCAGGGCAGTTTTCTGTGCTTGGGGCTGTCCATCTGTATCTGTTTTACCTGTCAACTCACATGCTTGTCCCTGGGATGGGGAGAGAGGTGGTCCAGGACACTATCTCCTGTGGTAGCAATAAAGTTCAGAAGAGACAGACGTAGCTTTCTCTAAGCCTCTGGTTTTGTCTTGTGCTTGGGATTTTTTTCCCATCTCATACAATTTGTATGACAGGAAATGGCTCCTGTTCTTGTGAATTACTTTTCACACAATAGAGGTGTAGTCCCTACTGTTCTCCAAATCACTTACCTTCCTGGTGACGTGCAGGAGTGCAGAGCGCTGGTCACTTGAGCAGGTTCTCACTCCACAGACACCGCCTACTTTTGAATGGCAGCTCTGGGTCTCTGAAGCGGTGTGTCCACCTCTTTACCTCTCCTTTGCATCTGGAGAAGAGGCTGGACCTAATTCCAGAAACAGCACTTATGACCTTCTCTTCATAGTTCTTGGTGCACATTGTGGCTAAAGCCCAAAGCCAGACTATCATTTAGTTTTGGGAGCTCAGAGCAGGCTCAGTTCCTGTGATAAGCTGTGTCTTTGGGCTTTTGGAAAGTGGGGGGCAGAGAACTGTTGTCAAGGCTAAGTGAAGCAGAGGGGTTTCTCCTTCCTCAACGTATCACAACTCAGCTGTGTTGCCCATACTGTGCCTTATCTATTCCCTAGGCACTGAGTCAGCCCTGAAAGTAAAGAAAGACTCTGGCACCAACTGCCCTTGTCAGAGCTGCAGGCAGGTGAGAGTGTGCTCCTGGGCTGTCTGCTCCTGGGCTGTCCACTCTGCAGCCCCTGAGGAGGAGCTCCAGGGCTTTGCTCCCAGGAGGAGATGTCTGGTTAAGTGCTAGGCTCAGCCTGCAGTGTGCGTGCCCAGTCTCATTAGATAGTGTGTTTTGTTCTGCAAACCTGTCTGCATTGTCTGGTCTGACAGCAACACGAATACTGTAACATAAGTGGAGGTGAGATTATTTATCTTGAGTTTGAGATTCTTGCTTTTCTCATAAGGTTGGGTTATCATTAGTCAACTTCAGCCATATTTTATGAAGAATGTGTGTTTGGGTGGAAGAGAGCAGTCTAAATCTAACACTACCATGAGAGAAAGACAAGCAGAGCTCAGCTACTTCGCTCTGGGGCAGCATTTGCGTACTTTGGAAGTGTGTTTATAGCCTACCGCAATCTGCAACATGCACTATATCGAGTTCTGTGAAGCATTTCCAGGAAGGTGATGGGGTGGTAGTAGGGGAATATGAGGCGTGCACACCTGGAACCAGGCTCTGTTGACTTCCTTGTGTGATTTTTTTTGTTGTTTTTTTCCATCCTTCGTTTTACAGGTACCAGAGATAAATCAGGACGTGCAGTGGCCATAATAACGACAAGGAACACAGCCTGGTTAAACCCCCACTGCAATACCACTGAGCTTGTACGCCTTCTTCTGTACTTGCATAGCATCCCAAGGTTTGTGATGCTCTTGGGCTGACAGGGTAGACAGCTGCTGCCGTGTCCGCTTTGCCTTTTGGGGGGGGTGGAAGCTGGGGCAGTGAGTGGAACGGGGTGACTTCGTTGGCCTAGGAACCTGGTCCAGACAGTCCTGAAACTGTACAGATGGGGATCTCCTGCTAGGGTGAACTGGCTCGTGTTCAGTAAGCTCTTTGGCTATTCTGTATGTGCCTTGTGCACGTGGTGTGATAGAATTAGGTACCTACTGAATGTTTTCAAGCGTTGCCCTGAATCCAAGCCATTCTTGCTATCCTTTATGAGCTCAGAAAATGGGATTTGGGAGCTATGATGGGGCAGTCATGCAGCAGCTCCGTGATACAGTGTTGTGACATTTTAGGGCCAGGCCTCCAAGCTGAGAGGGAGGGAGGATCTGCAAGGGTTGAGAAAATCTGCCTTGATGTCTGGCTGACAATTGTTTTTGGAATCTGCAGGCTGGAGTTTGCTGCAGCTACTCTTCTTTTCACTATGATAGACTCTCCTCCCAGCTCATCTCAGGCTCTACTGAGACTTTGTTTCACTTTTAGATGATTAAACTAATAAGAGGTAAAGCTAACTCCTGGTTAGTGATTTTAGTTTTTTAATTTGAAGCCTTTAAACCATTGATAAAGGGAGCAGGCTTAACCCATGGGAAAGCTTCTGCTACTCGTGCTTTGTTTCTTATGCTTCTCCCTTCAAATCTGATTCTGGGCAAGGCAGATGTTGGGTCTGATCCAGAATGGCTGTTCTTGTGAAGCAGTGTGGCTAAGGCCAAGCTTGTCCCTGAACATAATTAGGAAGGACTGGTTTTCCTGTGTGGATTACCCAGAGTCGTCAATGGCACCTTTGCCATCAGTGAGATGTCTCCTAGGAACTGGAGAAACAGGAAGTTCGGGTGGAAATAGCAAAGGTAAAAGCTGAGGAATCCAGGTGGTGCTTTCCACGTATATATTTTGGTTAAGAGAAGGTGGCCAGTTAGTTCCCTGTCCTTACAGAGGCATAACGTACTGTTTTTTTCACCCTGTCATGACAGGGTTCTGTTTCTATAGTCTTGCTGCTTTTCATTGGTGACAAGTGTGACCTCTTTTTCTCTGTCCTTGCAGACCAGAATGTCAGGCTTTAGGTCTAACTGTTCTTGTGGATGCTCGTCGCTGTTCACCGGTTCCCGCTCTCTTCAAGGCGTTCAGCATATTGCAGGTGAGACTTGAGCTTGGGCAAAGGAACACTAGTTGGCTTGCTGTTTTGGTTGGATGTTACATCTCCATCTGCCGCTTATGTCTCCATCTGCCGCCTGGCTTTCCGTTGGCTTTGGGAGGTGGAGTTAGGCACCCAGCCCTGTTTTAGGAGGATGACCTGGACTTGCCAAACTGCAGACAAAGCAAAAAAATTAAGCCAGTCTGAGTTAGGGGAGAACACCCCTCCCCACCCCTCCAAATTTGCTTCTGTCTCTGTGCTGAGAACAGCCTGTACCCAAGTCTAAACACTGTCATGAATTACCATGCTCGGAGATGATGTCCCCTGCACAGAGAGGCTGTGTGAAATACGCAGGGATTTTTGCCCACCACGGAGAAGGGAGGAAGAGAGGCCTCTCCCTGCTGCGGAGGGAGGGGAAGGACGCTGCTTGTCATGCCAGGTGGAAGAGTACATGCAGCTGTTGATATGGCTGTCGGTGAATGACTGGAACCGGACATGCCGTAACTCTATATTGCTTCAGGTCAAAGCCTTTCATATCAGTCACTTGGAAAGCAAGTGGGTTGTGTTGCCCCTGCTCCCAGATAGAAGCTATTTGCTGCTGTTAGAAAGCCAAGGAGATGCTGGGTTGTAGCTATGACTAATCTTGTTTAAGCAGGTGTTCCTTTTAAATCAGAGCTTAGGTCTCTTAGGACTCAAACTCCGCAAACTGGAACAGGGCAATATTTTAATGAGGCTGGTGTCTCTGTGGTTTATGTGCTTCAGTGCCACATCTGAGAGTTGGGGCTGAGTCAGAGGTCTGTCCTCCTGCTTCCTGGGCTGGGTGGAGCTGTGAGCCCTATCAGTGTGCTCATTCTCTGTGGTGGAGGAGCAGCCTGGTGCCCTGCTCGGTTCTGCAGAGGTAACAAGCAAGTTGTCTTCTTTTTTATGCTGTGCCCATATGGCAGTGGGCTTGCTAAAACTTTTGAGCCTTTCGTTGCCCATGGTTGCGTGGTCGTGTCTTAGTGGGATGATTTGGAAATTGGCAACACGTTCAGACACAATGTGCTTTTTGGGTCCCCAGTCTCGTACAAGCATGGCAGGAATAAAGCCATTCTAACCTTTAAGTTTCCTACCCTCTGAAAAGAGGAGTGGGGTGGGGGACAAAGCTTTTTGCAGTGCCTCTGATATCCTGCTGTGATGGCTGTTTGGCTCTGAGCACCTCGTTATCAGGGTGGTGCAACAGTTAGTTAACAGGGCTTAATGTGCTGCAAGACAGATTGCTGGAGCTGAGTGTGTGCTCCAGGTAACAGTGACTGACAGAGGCTGATTACTCTGCTTGTGGTTTTTCGGTCCTTACCCTGACTGTTCTGCAGACTCCGTAAACAAGACCTGTTCAGCTAGCTCATCATCTGGTTATGGCACAGGAATAATCCCCTGGCTCCTCTGAGCCTTTTGGAGATCCTTAGCGTTAACCTCTGTGATCCCATGGCAGTACTCTCTGAAACAAGGACAGAGAAATACAGAAAACTGACTGTAACTGCAGTGAGGCAAGCTAGGCTTTCTAGAGCACAGCAAGGTTTGCTGGCTGGTGGATACAGAAGCACAGACTGTATGTTGTGCCTGTAAGGGCACAAAACAGATCATCTCCTTGGGGTCCTTTCTGAAATCCCTGACGCATCTCCCAGTGCCTCTTATCTCTGGCAGACTGCCTCTGGAGCTCATTTCTCTGCTGTTCTGCTCTCCGCTTCAAAAAGATTTTATTTTACATGGCTTTTGTGAAGCCTACTATGATAGCGTGGGTGGAATCTGTTAAATGTTGAGATCCAGTGTTGCTTGTTCAATTTTGAAGGGATGTTTTCCTCTTGAGCAGTGAGGAGCACTGCTTCACGGTGGGTAAGCACAGGTCGGATGACCTAATGCAGAGTCCCTTCCTGCTGCAGCACTCGGATCTGTTAACCCTAGAGAACCTCCCCGGGGAGAGAAGACTTTGATCCCATAGGTTTCTGGGTCAAGATCTGTCAGTCTGAGGAAATACTCCGCTC